GGATATGATCAAAATACACTATATTAATGCTTGAAATTTTCAAATAATAAATAATCTAGTTTTTTAAGTAAATAAAAATGAGTGGATGAGTATGAAGACCTCCCAATGAAATGGGGATACCAAGAAAGGAAATATCAAGTATCCAGACCCTTCCCCACAAACAGCTGGATGAGGAAGTGCAGGAGGATGGCTGGGAAGAGGAAGAAGTGGAGGGGCTCCACCAGTCATGACTGAGAATCTTAGTTCCAACACTGGCCAATCATCTTAGCCAAATTGGTGAGCTCCAGGTTCAGTGAGACGCACGGTCTCAGAAAATGAGGTGGAAAGCAATCAAGGAAGACACCCAGTGTCGATTTTGTTTTATACATGCTCACATGTACATATAACCATATGGACACATACATACACACACAATCTCAGCTCCACTGTGTAGAGGCCTTTGACATGTCTCGCTTTTCCCTTTGGAAATAAACACGGACCTCAGGAGAGGCTATACTGGCCAGCTTTCAACAAGCCATCCTCCCTTGGAGAAAAAAATAATTACTTAAGCCCTGTCATCTTCATGCTTCTGGCTGTCTCCTCCTCTGTCAGTTGCTTCAGTGGATTCTCACCTGTCCTGTGAGGGCATGCAATCTGAGCTCCAGGAAGGTGCAAACCTTGGTCTTCATGGGGCATTCCTTTTTCATTTCTTTGGGCTCTGACTTTGAGACACCTAGATAAAGACTAAATTCTAGCAACCCAGAAACCATTTAGGAATGCATAGGACATGAAGCAAGAGAAGGCTAATTCCATAAGTACCATCCTTCTTACCCTAGCAGGCAGAATTGGAGACTCTCCAATACAGTGATGGTGCAAGGACTAGAGGGAGGGAGCTGTCCGTGGTCCTGGCCAGCATGGAGGCATGAGTGTTTAACATCCTGATCCACCTTCTGCTAACCTCTGGGAGGAGTCTGGACCTGCAGAGCTGGGTCCTTTACATATTTTGTAATCAGATTATTTTATCTTTGTTTTTTTTTTTTATTAAGTTTCTTGTATATTTTGGTTAACTTCTTATCATGATTTGAAAATATTTTCTTTCGTTCCATAGGCTGTTTCACTCTGCTGATTGTGCCCTTTGTTGTGCATTGTAGTTTTCAATCTTACTTGTTTGTTTAATTTTGTCTTATTTTGATGGTGGATCTTGTAGTCATATCTAAAAACAGTTTTTTCAAGATCAATGTCAGGAAGCTTGGTCACTATGTTGGGTCATGTTTGAGTCTGAGTCCTTAGTACATTCTGAAGTGATTTTCATACGTGGTGTGAGATAAAGATCCAACTGTATTCTTCTCTATGTGGATATCTAATTTTTCTGATACTGTTTTAAATTTTTCTGTCCTTATTCCTTTGTGTATTTATGTTATATTTGTCAAGAATGAACTGACCATAAATATGTGGATTTATTTTGGGGATCTCTATTTGATCCCATTTGTCTGTGTCTTTCTGAAATACCATACCATGATATTTTTCATTGAACTTTTATGTATTTCATACAGAACATTTTAATCATTTTTATCCCTACTCTCCCATAGTTCACCCCCTCATACACACCAGATTCCATGCATTCTGTCATTTATGTTAGAGTCCCCAGATGTCCCTCAATGCAAGTTCATCCACTGGGGTCTAGTCAGCCAATCTATAGTCTCTCCCTTTAAGAAGATAAACTCTCCCTTACCCAGTAGTAATTAGTTGTCAATAGTTCTTTGGCTAAGGTTGGGGGCTGCTGTCCATTTCCCTAGTTCTATACTTGATTTTTGTCTGCTTGAGTTTGCATGGTAATGTGCATGCTAACACCATTGCTGTCGATTCATATGAGGAAGGGCCCAGGACCCTGCAAGTCTCTCTTTCCATATGGTCATGCACCTCCTCCCCTGGCTCTTACAATCTTTCCATCCCCTCTTCTTCAATTGTCCCTGAGTCCTTGGTGGATAAAGTTTAATATAGGAGTCCTGTCCAGGGACCCACACTCTGCAGACTTTTATTCTCTATGTTTTGGCCATTTGTGGCCTTTGTATTCATTGCTGTCTATTGCATGAGGGAGCTTCATTGATGAAGGTTGAGAAATGCATTATTATTCTCTACACACTTTATCCCACTGTGCTCCATGAGTCTCCACTGTAGATGTTTCACTGAGGATTGGCCATCTCACAGACACATATCTGTGTGTGACCAGTTGTGGATCTCTGAAATAGTCTCCATATGTTGAAAACGAAGATACTTTGATGAGGCATACTTGTCTATAAATGTAAGAATCCATATTTAGCATGTAGTAAGACATTACATTTGTCGAGGGATGTGACAGTCTTAGGGTCTTAGGGTTTTCTCTAAGATCTAGGACCTCTCCAGCCGTGTGTATTTGGCTATGTTTACAGTGCCATACACGAGGTCCCTCCCATTGAATGGACTTTATGTCCAACTAGGTAACTGTTGATTACTGCAAGATAAAAGTACTACTGCACAAATATCGTTTGCTGTGCTGGTCTTTGTTGGTGTTATTAGTCCTTATAGCTAGGGTTGGACCATCAATTGATGTTCTCCTTTAGCAGTTTGTATAGTGCCCTCCAAAACTATGAGAGCTGACCTCCAGGGAGGTACCCACGGTCAGTTCCAGCTCCATTGCTCCAACTTTATGTCTGAAGTATGTTCTGTCTTCAGCAATAGGGTGTTATCTTCGCTCTCTGAGAGGCAATCAAGGGCTGTGGGAATAGCCTGTGTAATTTTGGGGGTCTCTTGGATTACCCTGTCCAACACTTCAAAGGGAGGTTTCTCCTGTCTGTCACTGTTTTTTTTATTATATAGCCTTCAGTTATACACACAAACTCATGTAGAGGTATTGTTTGAGTAATATTTCAGTAGGTTTTGCTTTGAACTAATACATTTCCTTCTGGTTTTTCACACCAGCTAAGAATTATTTATCTTTCCTCTCTCTCCCTGTTTGTCACTCTTCCCTCACCAGTTAAAGTACTCCCTTTTCCCCCATTTCACCCATCTCCTATGGTCCCCACTCCCTTGAGCTCCTTCTCCCCATCTACTCCACGGCTCCTTGTACAGTCCTCCTTCTTCCCTTTCCAGTTAAATGCCCCCATCTTACCCATTTCCTCCTTAATAACACCTGTGTCCCACTGTTCTTCTCTCTCAGGTTCTTCTTTCCCTTTACCTCCATGGCTCCTTTCCATTTTGCCTGGCACCTGCAGTTACATCAGAATATATACCCACATATAAAAATTGGTTGTTAAGATCCACAGATAAGAAAGAACATACATCATTTGCTTTTCTGAGTCTGTGTTACTTCACTTAGAACTAGAAACTCTTGTACCATGAGAGTTTTAAAAGATTTGTTTATTTTAGTTTTATGTATACGGATGTTTTGCCTATGTGTATACATGTCTATCATGTGCAATGACTGCAGAGGTCAGAAGAGGGTTTCAGAACCCCTGTAACTGGAATAATGGGGAGATGGTAGCTGTCATGTGGGTGTTGGGAACCTGGGTCCTCTGCAAGAGCACAACTATTCCTAACTGCTGAGCTAGCTCTTCAACTCCAAATTCCAATATTTATCATAGTTTAACTAAGATTTATATGCTATGACAAGATCAAGTTGTATAATGCCCCAGCTTTATTCATTTTGCCCAAAATTCCTTTGGCTAGTAAGGATCATCTGGGATCCTATATAAATTTTAAGATTTATTTTTCTATTTCTGTGAAAAATGTCAGTAGAATTTGGTAGGGATTACATCTACTCTGTTGAAAATTAAGGTGGAGCAGGGCATGGTGGTGCATGCCTTTAATCGTAATGCTCGGGAGGCAGAGCCACACAAATATCTATGAGGTGGAGGCCAGGATGTGCTACATAGTGAGTTCCAAGCCATCTGGGTCCTATAGGGAGACTCTGTCTCAAAATCCCCCCCATAATTAATATATATAATGATAGAGCAAGACAACTAACATTGACCTTTGGTCTTCACATTTGCAATCACATACAGACACACACACGTCTGCACACACATATAACACATACATAAATGCATACATCACACATACACAATACACACACACATACACCAACTGTATAAACAGGTAATATATAGATAAGATAAATGTAAAAGAAAGAATAACATGGGTGCCTAAAAATATAGGTCTCTGGGCACTGCTAGAGAGCTCCCAGCTAGCCTGGGAAGTTTGTCAGACTCATCCACTTGGTTGCCATTCATCCTGCATGAGGCAGGACTTGGCTTGTTGGTGCTACCAGAGCTAGCCTGCCTGGAAACATCCCATCACTCCAATAAAATACAGGTCTCTGACCCTGTGTCTAGTAATTCTAAATGCACAGATGTAGAAGAGTGCCCTGGATTTACAGTTGATGCTACAACTGGACTGAAAACCACACTTGAAGAAGCACCTAGAAAATCCCTTAAGATTTAACTGTTTTGAAAATCAGTTGTAAAGTATGTATTTTAAATCATGTCTTTAAAGACATTGACATTCTCCCCTTGCATCACACACTGCATGTGTTCATATAAATGCAAAAGCAACAGAAGTCAAAGTGTGTTGACTTCCTACACCTGACTTCAATTATAACACCCATGCGGTGAACTGGGCACCTGAGCCTCTGGTTTGTGTCACATGATTATCCAGTTACTGGATTTCTAAGGCAATAAGAGAACGATTCATTCCAAGAAGCATTTAAAAATGCAAAATTTTGTAACCACTAATATTTTTCTCAACATAAATAAAATTCTCACTTTTCTAGTATATTCACTATTTTACAATGTGTTCACTTATTTGTTCAATTATTAATGTTAATCTACCAACTATGTCTTTAGTTAATATCTGCTGAATCATAAGAACCTTCAAAATATTCCCAAACAGACTTGAAGAATAACTGGAAAATGGAAGTTATGGGATTGAATGGTTAATCTATACCTCACAGCAGTCTGTAGAACATGTAATAAAGCACACGAAACTGTTTTATTTGATGCTCTAAAACTTTATTGCTTGTGGCTATCTTGATACAGTTTTAAATCAAAGTAGATTTACATAGGCATAATAACAAAGCAGCAATTAGAGTCATAATGAATGAAAGTAGAGACTAAATTTTGTAGATTAAAATTTCTACCAAACCAAATAATTCATTTCCAATGACAATCTTTTGTTTTACATTTAGTCATACATATTTTTTAGGAGTTCCTGCAGCAGATAAATTGAAAGCATAAATGAAACTTGAGTGACACAGGTCACAACTTTGATTATTATTCATGAAAGGTGAGAAATTATAGTTTAAATTAAAAGTTTGAGATTATCATTTTAAATCAAAGATAACTCCAAAAGATCTACCATTATGCTCTGAGGTATGTATTAATATTTTTTTATTTCAGATAATTTTCATTTATTTTGTGATACTCCATTGTGTTACTAAAAGTTAACATCCCAAATTAAGGTTTTCTTTTCAAACAAAAGAAGCTGTTTCTATCAACAGATTTTCAGTTGACAAACCAAGATCTGTTCATGACTTCATTTTCTGGAGGGCATTGCAAAGGATTCCAACTTCACCTACAATGAAGAATATGATAAAAGTGGGACACCTATTAATAAATAAACATTTTTAAATCTCTTAAAAATATTTTATTGAATTTTGTGGATTACATACAATACATCTTAATCATATTTAGCCCCTTTCATATTTGTGCCCCCATAGCCTATCCATGGGACATCATGTATTTTGTCTTTTTTTAATGTTCTTTTTTTTAACTTTTACAAAAACTTTATTAAGAATTTCATACATGCATATAAGGTGTTTTGATCAAATCCATGCCCACTCCCTCCCCTCCAACTCCTCCCATATCTCCCCATCACTTTTTTCTTTTTCTTTTCTTTTCTTTTTTTCTTCTTTATTTATTTTTATGGGGCTTTTGGCTACTCTAACATTCCCCCCTCTGAAGAGGTAACCCTAAAATCTTTTAAGGACTAGATACAAGTTCCAAAATACTTTTTTAAATGCAAAAACCCTATAGGATCATTGAGAGGAATGCGTAGGTAAGTCAGGTGTCACCCCAAACTTCATGGCGCTTACAGCATAGTTATAGAGACAGCACTTGGGCAACAGTGGCATGTTTGGAGAGTACTAGAGTTTTTATCATCATCAGCACCCTTTTTCATAAGCTACCTCCTAGGGTCTAAGAGGTTTCTCTAGATGACAGGTTTCCATGCAGATCCTTAGATCTGAACAGTTTCTTTTTTACATACTCTTTCATAAAAGCTTCAATGAGCTAAGCTGCTAAACTTAAAAGCATGTAGTTCTGAACTTGCACTGAGGAACATCTGGGTACAGATGCTTGACTGGATAGGACTTAACAGGTATGACAGAATGCATGAAGTCTGGTGGGGGGTTGGGGGGCGTGGATGGGAGAGGGGGCTCTAAATTTGATTAAGAACTGTTGTATGACATGTACAAAAGCTCAATAAAAGATTTTTTAAAGTATGTGTTCCATTTAATCTCCTGTGTCAGAATCACTTGAGTTTCCGGGCCTTAGCACAAATTTAGCAAACTTAATTTGGGACTATAACTCAGGACTACAAGCTTTTCCAGCTCTGTAAATGATTCTTAGGTACACTAAGGTTTAAGAAAGTTTCACCTAAGTGGAAAACTCAGTCAAGATTGTTAGGTCCTTTTGCATTCCACTGACATTACATAAGATGGGGACTCTTACTGGGCCCACATGTCTTCCTTCTATACACTCTCTTTGGTTCACCCATTCATTCAATAGTTCTTGAATATCTAATACAATTCTCGTGAATAGGAATATGTTCTAGGCACTTAACAGAAAACCTGATATGGATGTCTGCTCAGGTCTAGTAGGGGACACAGACAAGTAAACAATTCTAAAATAATATAATGATGAATCTTCTGTGAGAGGAATCTGCAGAAATGTAAAGACATAGGAAGGATATGCAAACAAGTCTTCCTATAAAAAGAAATGTCTGTGCAAGACATAAAAGATGAACTCGCTTTGAACATCTCAAACAGGCATGGAAGGCGAGTATTTCAAACAGAAAGCTGCATGGGCAAAAGTCAGGAAAGAGCATAGGGACTAGGGGTTGATCTGTATTGCTAGAGGATATTTTCAAGATCTAGAGAGAGTCAGATATGAATGAGCACAGTAACCCTGTGGTGTTTTAAAAGTAATGATTTTAATATCCATTACCAAGGAAGACTGAGAGGCCAGGAGATGAGCTGGCTAATTGGGCAGTGTGGTGATTTGAATGAGGTGTCCACTGTAGGCTCAAGTATTTGAACAGTTGGTCAGTTGGTGGTGCTGTTTGTGAAGGTTCAAGAGATACAGTCTTGCTAGAAGAAGCACATCCCAGGAAGCAGGATTTGAGAGCTCACAGCCCATCTCATCTCTAGTCAGCCTCTCACTCTCTCGCTCTTTCACTCTCTCACTCTCACTCTATCACTCTCTCACTCTCTTTCCCTCTCTCACTCCCATGCCTGACCAGCTTTCTGCTCTTGCTACCTCTTGCCATGCTTCTCCCACCATGATGGACTCTCATCCTTCTGGAACTTTAAGCCCAATATATTCTCCCTTCTATATGTTGCCTTGGTCATGATACTGTATCACAGTGACAGAAAAGAAACTAATACTTTTATGGTCATCAATAAAGTACACAAAAACCTGTGCTTAGTGTGTGAGATTCCAGGCTAGGTGATACTGACACTTAGAGGGAAATGGAAATGAAGATAGAGGCAAAGGACAAAGGGGAACCTCAGAGTGGCAGGCAAGGGGTGGGAAGGCAGTATAGTGGTAGATGGGTAGGAAGTCAGAAGGTCGAAGGAGAAAGGACACTTGAAGCCATTTTGACCCACTTTGTACAGATTTCTTCCCAATGAACCTGTGGCTTATATAAAGATGCTTTCTCCTTAGTTTAACACTTTGACATTTTCTTTCTGTTCCTATAGGAAAGGTAAGAAGACACGGTCCTCTACTTCTGGGACAGAATATGGTTCCATTGGATGTGAGTTACTTACTGTTGATGGAGTCAGCCAAAATCTTCAGCTGCTGGGTGTTGTCCAGGACCTCAACCCTTTGGGTGTATGGGTCATAACGAACTGAGAAGGGCCGAGGGATTGTGGCAGCAAAGTTTCTGAAACCAAAACCAAGAGACTGAGTGAAGGCCACCATTTGGAGAAAAGTAATTCTGAAAGATTTCTGAGTAACATTCTTACTAAAACAGGGGCTTTGAAGCTTAAGGTCGAAAAGTAAAAAGAATTTGAATGACTCCATATGGGGAAGCCTCTGTGTGTGTGTGTGTGTGTGTGTGTGTGTGTGTGTACATTTAATCATCTCGCTCCCCAAAGTGAGGTTG